GCCATTGAAATGTATGCCTTATATGGGTAAATCAATGGTATCTGACCTGTATTTCAGTAAGGCTGTTATCAAAAAATAACAGAAATAAATGAAGAAAGGTAAATAACTATCTTATCTCATGCAATTCTGAATTCACTCAACAATGTAAAATTCCCAAGTAGTCTGAACAGTTGAATTAAAGTTTCATAATTAAATACTATTTTTAAAAAGAGATTAACAATTACATTTTGTAAATGGTGTATTATAAAGAAAATTAAACCATAGATTTACTAGAATGTTGATGTACTTTGTCATGGGGAATATCTTTATGTGCATTGTACTAACACGAACTTGAAATGATAGCTCTGTCTACATAAACACAAAACAACCTTTCGGTATGTGAGCATCAAAAACAAAATAAAAATGCAAATGCTGCAATAAAAAAATTGTAACATAGAAAACAAAGAACTATCCTTAAAGGAGCTTATAAATGAAATTTTGGAAAGTTAAATTCTCTGAGAGAAATTGGGCAAAACAGATGAACAGAGAGTGCACACAAGATTACAAATTAAAAGAAAAAGGGGAAAAAAGCATTTGACCTGGGTTTGCCCCGACGTGTGATATACTATGTTGTTTATACGATTCTTCCCTATGAAGGACCTTAACTCTATTTGGTTTCAGGTTATAACAACAGTAACAGAAAAGACATTAGGAAAACTGAAGAGTAGTTCTTCATGTTCACCGAGGGCCTTTTTACATCAGATGGTGACTACTTGATGAATTTGATGCCCTTGTCATCCCTTCCACTCTCCTCTGTCACACGGTGGCAGCTTCCCCTCCTCGCTGTTTCCTTCACTATACAATCTTACACCCTCAGTCTTCCTTGCCTATTTCAGCAGCTTCCTAACTCACCTCCCTGCCTTTTAGTCTCTTCCCACCTAGTCCATCTTGTGGGCACCCAGAATCATTGTTCTAAACGAGTCAGAGTAACTGTTTCTTTTATTTACTAAGAATCTCAGCTGCCTCTGCATTGCATAGAGCACAAACTTCAAGACCTGCAAAGCTGTCTTCTCATCCTATGTACATTTCCAACCTCATCTCTTATTTCCCCAGCATGTTATTCTTTAGCTCTGCTGAGCAACAGCAAAGCTTTCCCATTGCCAAGCCTTTCTTCGCACATGCAGTTTCTTCTGCCTTTACTCCCTAGCCTTCAGCACCCAGCTACCTGGAGTCTAGCACTCCTCCAAAATATTAAGTGGTTGATTATAGCCCTGCTTTTCCTGCAAGGCTTCAAGAGATGAGGACATGTCTTACTCATCCATATATCCCCATCACCTAAAATTATCAGAAACATGGTAAGTGTCCAATAAAGGAATGAATCAACTTTCTGGTTTTGTTTTTCAGAGTATGAAATATTTTTGCACTACTGAAACAAACACCCTTATGGAAATTTCAAAGTGCTAGACTGTAAAAATTTTAGAGTCTTCCTTAATTTTCTGATTAAGAAAAACACCAGAAATAAAATTATACACAGGAGTACATGGTTTTTTTTTTACATGATTTATTTTTAAAAGCAAGATTTGAAAGCTTGGTAAAATGAAATCAACTTGAGTTTGATTTTAAAGTTTTGACTCAAGATTTAAATCTTTGCTGTCTTTGGTTTTCTACTGATTTATATCAAGGTGCTTCTGAGCTGGTAGAGTCCCTGTGAAAACCCACGAGTTTTGCCCAGATGGATGAAATGCTTGCTGTTAGTGAAGGGCCCCTGTTCAGATGAGTATTGTTAAGGCAATATTTGGGATGCATCAGGCAACTCTCTGGAGACCAACAGCCCTGCCACTAGGGTTAAAAATATGCCACAGAGCAGAGGAAAGTGGGGCTGTGTGAGAATCTAGAGTAGACAGCCAAACCCTATAGCAGGGAAAAAACACAGTAACAGAGTAGGCTTTGCCTCACCTCCTATCTTTTTCTTTTCCCCTCAGTATGAATTTATTTCAACAAAAGAATGAATACATTAAAATTTGCCTATTAAGGAAAAATTCTGAAGACTTTCCTAATGTGGCGGCAAAATATACTGGGCTCTCTTATCCATTGTTGCCTTTGAAGAAGTTGTCCTAGCTTGAGGTAAGTGTTGAAGAGGTGGTCAGAACACAGGAAATCCACCAGTGCTATTGATCTGGATGGAAAGTGAGTATTTTTTAGGACTTCACACCAGCATATCCAGGGTATTTATTCATTCATCAGTATTTACTTGTTGCCTAACATGTCCAGTTTCTGTTCCAGGAGCTGAGACACAGCTATTGAATGAAAACAAGTACTGGAAGCTTATATTCCAGTGAGAGAGACAGACAGTAAACAAATATGCCAGCTGGTGATGAGTGCTATGGAGAAAAACTACGCAGGGCACGGGGAGCAGAAAATGTGAATGTGCTGGGGAAAGAGATTGCTGCTTCACAGAAGTAGCCCAAAAAAGGTGACATGCAAACAGAGACCTAGAGACGAGGCACTGGGCAATAGAAACCCAGGAAGAGCATTCCCAAGGCAGAAGCATTAGCAAGCGATGCCAGGGAGGCTTGGCACAGTCAGGGAATGAGTGAGAAAGGAAGCACATGGCAGAAAAGGTAGCATGGGGGCAGAATGTGGGGTACCTCATGAACCAGTGCAAAGAATTTTACTTTTACTGAGCAAGATGGAAAGCCATTAGAGAGTTCTGAGCAAAGACTGTGCAGTAGTAGCACAGTTTTACATTTTGAAAGGATCACTGTGGCTGCTGCTGGAGAATTGACAGTAGAAAATGAAGAGGAAGCAGGAAGACCATTTAGGAGGCTGCTGCAATAGTCCAAGTGAGAGAGAATGGTGAATCAGAGCAGCGTTCCTGCAGTGGAAAGTGGCTGGATTCTGGGTACATTTTGAAAACAGAGATAACAGGACTTATTACATCCACCTCTGGGTGAAGCAAGACTGGAGGGTGAAGATGTGCCATTCATCTTCATTACTTGCCAATTCTGTACTTGTGAACTTGCAAAATTTGCATTCTCATAAAATGTATGGTACTTTTAGTCATTTGCTGACATGCAGAGTGGTGAAAATTTTGAGTACCCAGAGGCACATGTTCCCAGCTGAGGGCAAACAAAGTGACACTGCAGTTTTAGCTCTCACACTATAAATGTGTTCTTGTAGTCTATTTTGTGCCATTTATTTTTGTATTTTTCTTAGTGATTTTACTATTTAAAATGGCACCCAGGTGTAGCACTGAAGTGCTGTTTAAGGTTTCTAAGCAGAAGAGGGCTGTGATGTCAGCACTGTGGGAGGTTGAGGAAGGAGGATCGCTTGAGTCTGGGAGTTTGAGACCAGCATGGGAAACATAGTGACTCCTTCCCTGCTCACTGTCTTTACCAAAAAAAATGCTGTTTAGTATTGTTCCTAAGTATAAGAGGGCTATGACGTCAGCACCTTGGGAGATTGAGGCAGGAGGATCACTTGAGCCTGCAGTGAACTATGATCACACCACTGCACTACAGCCTGGGTGACAGAGCAAGACCCAGTCTCAAAATACAAAACAAAAATTTAGGTAAAGAGCTGTTGGCTGAGTTCTATGTTAATGAATCCATAATATACATTACAGGCATTAAATAAGGTGTCTTCAAGTAGTAACACACACACACACACAAAAGGTTATGTACTAATCCATTGATAAAAATGTGACCAGTGGCTTTTAGGACCCTAATGCAGTATGTCCCCTAGGTGCAAAAGTTCAGTATTTGCTAACTTAGTTTTTGTGGTGGTGACTTTTAGAACACAACTACCGCAAATAACAAGAACCAGCTGTAACAGAGTAAAAGTAATTTAGAAGTTCAAAAAAATGCTGCAAATAGGGCTCGGAAATACCTTAGCCTGTACAGAAAACTGCAGGAGGCTGCATTTTTTTTTGAGACAGAGTCTTGCTCTGTTGCCAGGCCAGAGTGTAGTGGCACAATCTCTGCTCACTGCAACCTCTGCCTCCTGAGTTCAAGCAATTCTTCTGCCTCAGCCTCCTGAGTAGCTGGGACCACAGGTGCGTGCCACCACTCCTGGCTAAATTTTGTATTTTTAGTAGAGACAGGGTTTCACTATGGCCAGAATGGTCTCAGTCTCTTGACCTCATGATCTGCCCACCTTGGCCTCCCAAAGTGTGGGGTTTACAGGCATGAGCCACTATGCCCAGCCAGAAACTGCATCCTTTAAGAAAATCTACAATGAAGAATTAAGCTGGAATACCATACCTGATTGACACCAGCTGAGAAAAGGGTAAACTATGGCTCAGTGTGTGGGTTCTCATCCTGGCTGATGAAAATCACCTGAAGAGTTTAAAAAAATGTTAGTATCTGGGTTCCACCACAGAGCTTGAGTTGAAATGGCATTACAAGTTGCAAAAGCTTGCTAGGTGATTCTAAACTAATGTGTAACAAAAACTTCTTAAAGCTTTATTTAGCATTCCTAAGAATCACATGCAGAGCTTGTTAAAAGAGATTACTGGGTTCCACCCTCAGAGAGATTAATGCAGATCTGGGATGAAACACCGGAATCTGCGCAGGTGATGCTCGAGCACTATGGCTACACGTTAAGTAGCACTGCCCTGTATCACTTCTATCACGAAGCCACAGAATCCCAAGGGAACTCAGGTTGAACAAAACCCAGCAACTGAGCTCTCTTCAGCCAACAGTAACTGTTCTCATCTCTTGGTTTCACTTTTCCTCTGTGGCCTTAACTTCTCCTACACCTCATCTTCCATGCAGCTTGCTGGGCAGCCTCAGTCCTAGCTGTGAGATCCTCATATCTACACATCAATCCTGGCTTTGCTTAGCCCACGTGTTCATCCTCAAAGCAATCCCTGGAGACAGAGATGAATAATCTGTCCAGCCTGACAAATGTGCCCTTTTGGGAAAGGAGTGTAAGCCACAGTGTGCATAAATCACGAAAAGAAGATACTCGCCCTGTCAGTTTTGTATATTTAACAATTACTGCTACAGAGAATTTATTCCTTCATTTCCATTTTACAAATTTTATTTCAAAAAAGGGGGATGTGTGTGGAAGATTAAGATGTCCACAGAAAGTAACTCTCATCATTACAATAAAGTATTTAATTGAACAGAAACAATAAAGACCCAATTCAGTATGTAATGTCCTATTTTCCCACTGCACCAGTTAAAAAAAAGTCAAAGCCTTCTTAGTTTGGAAGAGTAGAACAGCTTTTACACAGAAAAGGTGCCCCAAATGAGTAACCAAATCTCTAATTTTGTCTATTTATCCTTTTTTTTTTGGTTCTTTTTCTTTCTTCTCAGGCTTAGCTTCTTCCTCCTCAGTTTTTTGATTAACTGTTTAACTTCTTTAAGTTTGAGAACTCTGATTACCATCTTTCCATTCTTTCTTGTTAGTGTTGCAATTTCCACTAAAAACAAACACATACGTTTATTTGTATTGCAGGCAGGCAGGCATACTTAGCAGAGAAACTTAACAGACACTCACAGTTTCTGCTCATTACATCATTTAAACCTTAGTTCTGCACTCTGCTTAATATTATTATCATTCCCTTCTATGAGAACAAAATACCTTTGATCTTGTAATGTTTCAATTACAATTTTTACTTAAATATCTTCACCTCACCCATTGCAACTTTCTTAGCAGCCATTTTGTCACTCCTTTAATAAAAGAATAATTGACCAATTGCTATTGCTGGCCTGCTATTAGCTGGGCTGATCAGAAGGAACCTCAATTTCAGTCAGAGTCTTCAACTGGTAGCAACAGATTACTTTTTATAAACTTTGCAAGTCTTTAAAAATAAAACAGGCTGGGTGCAGTGGCTCACCCAGCAATTTGGGAGGCCAAGGCAGGTGGATCATGAGGTCAGGAGATTGAGACTACCCTGGCTAACATGGTGAAACCCTGTCTCTACTATAAATACAAAAAAATTAGCCAGGCATGGTGGCAGGCACCTGAAGTCCCAGCTACTCAGGAGGCTGAGGCAGAAAAATTACTTGAACCCAAAAGGCAGAGATTGCAGTGAACTGAGATCACACCACTGCACTCCAGCCTGGGTGACAGAGTGAGACTGTCTCAAAAAGAAAACAAAAAAAGGCATGAAATGGCCAAGAAAAGCAGACTAATACCCAAAGGGAAAGGAATTGTTTTGTACTAGGGAAATTGAGTAGTGTCCCCTTGAAATTGGATGGAAGAAGACAACAGAGGACAATCTGTATGTAAATGGCCTTTTCTTTCTTTCTTTCTTCCTTTTTTTTTGTTGAGATGGAGTTTCGCTCTTGTTGACCAGGCGCAAGGTTGTGCAGTGGCACAATCTTGGCTCACTGCAACTTCTGCCACCCAGGTTCAAGCAATTCTCCTGCCTCAGCCTCCTGAATAGCTGGGATTACAGGTATGCACCACCATGCCTCGCTAATTTTTTGTATTTTTACTAGAGATGAGGTTTCACCATGTTGGCCAGGCTGGTCTCAAACTCCTGACTTCAGGTAATCCACCCACCTTGATCTCTCAAAGTTCTGGGGGTTACAGGTATGAGCCACTGTGCCTGGCCATGAGTGGCATTTTCTAAGGAACACCAGGAGCTAAACTGTCCTAATCTAAAGCGACATGTTAATTTACCACAATTTCTTAGAAACATTTAGAAATATTCTTTTTTTTTTTTTGAGATGGAGTCTCTGTCACCCAGGCTGGAGTGCAGTGGCACAATCTCGACTCACTGTAGCCTCTGCCTCTGCCTCCCAGGTTTAAGTGATTCTCCTGCCTCAGCCTCCCGAGTAGCTGGGATTACAGGTGTGCACCACCAAGTCAGGCTAATTTTTGTCTTTTGGAAGTAGAGACAGGGCTTCACCATGTTGGCTAGGCTGGTCTTGAACTCGTGGCCTCAGGTGATCTGCCCACATTGGCCTCCCAAAGTGTTGGAGTTACAGGAGTGAGTAACCATGCCCAGTTGAAATATTCTTTTTCTGAAACCGAGTTTCACTCTTGTAGCCTGGGCTGGAGTGCAATGTTGCGATATTGTCTTGGCTCACTGCAACCTCCACCTTCTGGGTTCAAGTGATTCTCCTGCCTCAGCCTCCCAAGTAGCTGGGATTACAGGCACATGCTACCATGCCCAGTTAATTTTTTGTACTTTTAGTAGAGACAGGTTTCTCCACATTGGTCAGGCTGGTCTCAAACTCCCAACCTCAGGTGATCTGCCAACCTCAGCTTCCCAGAGTGCTGGGATTATAGGCATGAGCCACTGCACCTGGCCTGAAATCCTGAACAAAGTATTTGGAATTGCTAACATAAGCCTAAAATAAGATTAGTAAATTCAAAAGAATAGGAGAGGATATCACAACCCATGTAAATTTTGTATCTCTGTTAAAGAATACCAAACCTATGTAAAATATGTAACTACATGCATATGTTTTATCACACATACACACAAGCAAAGATATCACTGATGAGAAGATTTGATAACTGTTAACTAAAAGTAGCATGGTGCAGGATCTCTATCTGTGAGTATTGAGAATAGTGTGTCCACAATTTACCAATGTTGACCTTGGTCAATTCACTTACCCTCAGTAAGCTTTATTGTCCTCAGTTAGAAGACAGGAATAGGGGAGGATTCAAAATGGCTCAGTAAGAACAACTCAGGATTGCAGCTCTCAGTGAATGCGTAGAGGGTGAATCAAAGCTGCATTTCCAGATGGATCTTTTTTGCCCACAGAATGGGGAAATACCCACATGTAGAAGAGACACAGGAAGCCAGCGCAGCTGCTTTGGCTGGTGAGGCAACTATGGCCAACACCACAGCGCAGTGGCACTCCGCAACACTCTGCACAGAACACACTGGTCCAGGTGCCCTGTTACACCAGCAGTCTGAGATTTGGGAGGGCAGATTAGCATATCCATCTAATTAAACGGGACTTGGACAGTGAGCCAGACCAGGAGATTCCTGGGAAGTGGCGTTTGAGCCAGTGCAGTGGGTCGCTGAACAGGAAATCACACAGATCCCGGACAAACAAAACGGCGATTTGAAACACTCTGGGTGGAAAGTTTCACTGCGAGCACAGCTGAACCCAGGATGGTGCAGCTCGGTGGGAGAGAGGCGTCCACCATTACCGAGGCAATCCGCCCCTACTGAGGCACACTCCCATTGCTGATGCAGCCTGCCATTGGTGAGGCAACCGCCATAACAGAGAGATTATGCCACAGGGCGGAGCCTGTGGCAGCAGGGCGAAGACCACAATGGTAGGGCAGAGCCCGCAGCAACAGGGCAGACCCCATGCCAGCAAGGCAGAGCCTCAGCAGGCAAATAGTGACTAGACTGCCTCCTAGCTGGGCAGGACAGTGCAATGGACATTCATAAAGAAAGCCCTAATTCCACAAGACAAATCATCTGAGAATAAAAAGGGGTTTTATGAGTTCTGTTGCAGCAGACTTAAACGTAGCAGCCTAAAAGCGCTGAATGAATAACGGAGCTCACAGCTCAGCACTGGAGCTCCTATAAAGTACAGACCATCTCTCCAAGCAGCTCCCTGACCCCTGTATATCCAGAGAGTCACCTCAAAAAGGACTGATCAGACTGACATTTGGTGGGCATCATTCTGGGACAAAGATAGCAAAAGAAGAAACTGGTAGCATCCCTCACTGTTCCACAGCTGTGACAGGTGTACTCCAGAAAAGCAGGGCCTAGAGTGAACCTCAGCAGTCATACAGCAAAGGGGCTAGACTGTAGAAGGAAAACCAAGTAACAAAAATACTTCATCATCAACAATATGGGCATCCACTCAGAGACCCAATCGAAAAGTCAGCAACTACTCAGATGACAGGTGGATAAAACCACAAAGATGGAAAGAAACCAGCACAAAAAAAGGAAAAGACCTGAAACCAGAACACCTCGCCTCCTACAAAAGACCAAAACTCCTCACCAGCAAGGGAACAAAGCTGAACAGAGAATGACTGTGATGAAATTAGACTTCAGAAGGTGGGTAATAAGAAACTTCTGTGAGCTAAAAGAGCATGTTCTAAATCAATGCAAAGAAACTAAGAACTTTAAAAAAAGATTTGAGAAAATGATAACAAGAATGGATAACTTAGAGAGGAATATGAATGAATTGAAGGAGCTGAAAAACACAACATGAGAACTTTGCAAAGTATGCACAAGTTTCAACAGCTGAATTGACAAAGCAGAAGAAAGAATATCAAAAGTTGAAGATCAACTCAATAAAATACAATGAGAAACCAAGATTAGAGAAAAAAACGCAAAAAGAAATGAACAAAGTCTCCAAGAAATGTGGGACTATGTGAAGAGACCTAACCTACGTTTGATAGGTGTACCAGAATGTGATAAAGAGAATGAATCCAAGCTGGAAAATACTCTTCAGGATATTATCCAGGAAAATTTCCCCAACATAGCAAGGCAGGCACACACTCAAATCCAGGAAATACAGAGAACACCATAAAGATATTCCACAAGAAGAGCAACCCCAAGGCACATAATCGTCAGATTCACCAGGGTTGAAATGAAGGAGAAAATACCAAGGGCAGCCAGAGAGTAAGGTCGGGGCACCCACAAAGGGAAGCCCATCATACTCACAGCAGATCTCTTGGCAGAAACACTACAAGCCAGAAGAGAGTGGGGGCCAATATTCAACATCCTTAAACAAAAGAACTTTCAACCCAGAATTTCATATCCAGCCAAACTGAGCTTCATAAGTGAAGGAAAAATAAAATCCTTTGCAAACAAGCAAGTACTCAGAGATTTTGTCACCACCAGGCCTGCTTTACAAGAGCTCCTGAAAAAGGCACTACACATAGAAAAGAAAAACTAGTACCAGCCATTCCAAAAACACACTAAATGCTAAAAAGCATCAACAAAATGAAGAATCTACATCAACTAATGGGCAAAACAGCCAGCTAACATCAAAATGGCAGTATCAAATTCACACATAACAATACTAACCCTAAATGTAAATGGGCAAAACACCCTAATCAAAAGACACAGACTGGCAAATTGGATAAAAAACCAAAACCCATCAGCGTGCTGTAGTCAGGAAACCCATCTCACATGCAAGGATACAGAAAGGCTCAAAATAAAGGGCTAAATGAAGATTTACCAAGCAAATGGAGAGCAAAAAAAAGGTGGAGTTGCAATTCTCATCTCTGATAAAATAGAGTTTAAAGCAGCAAAGATCAAAAGAGACAAAGGAGGTCATTACATAATGGTAAAAAAATCAATACAACAAGAAGAGCTAATAATCCTAAATATATATGGACCCAATACAGGAGCACCCAGATATATAAGGCGAGTTCTTAATGACTTACAAAAAGACTTAGACTCCCACACAATAATAGTAAGAGACTTTAACACTTCACTGTCAATATTAGACAGATCAACCAGACAGAAAATCAACAAGGATATCCAGGGCTTGAACTCAGACCTGGAGCAAGCAAACCTGATGCACATTTACAGAACTCTCCACCCCAAATCCACAGAATATACATTCTTCTCAGCACCACATCACATCTACTCTAAAATTGACCACTTAATTGGAAGTAAAGCACTCCTCAGAAAATGCAAAACAACTGAAATCATAAGAAACATTCTCTCAGACCATAGTGCAATCAAGCTAGAACTCAGAATTCAGAAAATAACCCAGAAGCGCACAGCTTCATGGAAACTGAACAACTGGCTCTTGAATGTTGACTGGATAAACAATGAAATGAAGGCAGAAATAAAGAAGTTCTTCGAAACCAATAAGAACAAAGACAAAACATGCCAGAATCTCTGGAACACATTTAAAGCAGTCTCTAGAGGAAAATATATAGCAATAAGTGCCCATATGAGAAGAGTGGAGAGATGCAAAATTGACACCCTATCACCAAAATTGAAAGAGCTAGAGGAGCAAGATTAAAAAAACTCAAAACCTAGCAGAAGACTAGAAATAACTAAGATCAGAGCAGAACTAAAAAAGATAGAGACATGAAAAACCCTTCAAAAATCAATAAATACAAGAACTGGTTTTTTGAAAAGATCAACAAAATAGACCACTAGCCAGACTGATAAAAAAGAAAAGAGAGAAGGACCAAATAGATGCAATAAAAAATGATCAAGGGAAAATCACCACAGGTTCCACAGAAATTCAAACCATCATCAGAGACTATTACAAACAACTCTATGCACATAAACTAGTAAACCTGGAAGAAATGGATAAATTCCTGGACACCTGTGTTCTTCCAAGCCTAAACCAGGAGGAAGCTGAAACTATGAATAGACCAATAACAAGGTCTGAAGTCGAGGCAGCAATTAAGAGCCTACCACACAAAAAAAGCCCAGGTCCGATGGGTTCACAGCCGAATTCTACCAGACACAGAAAAAGGAGCTGGTACCATTCCTTCTAAAACTATTCCAAACAATCCAAAAAGAGGGAATCCTTCCCAAATTATTTTATGAGACCAACATCATCCTGTTACCAAAACCCGGCAGAGACCCAACAAGAAAAGAAAACTTCAGACCAATATGCATGATGAACATAGATTCAAAAATCTTCAATAAAATACTGGCAAGCCAATTGCAGCAGCACATTAAAAAACTTATCCATCATGATCAAGTAGGATTCATCCCGGGGATGCAAGGCTGGTTCAAGATATGCAAGTCTATAAACATAATTCACCACATAAACAGAACCAAAAACAAAAACCACATGATTATCTCAATTGACACAGAGAAGGCATTCGACAAAATTCAACAGCCCTTTATGCTAAAAACCCTCAATAAACTCTGTATCAATGGAACGTATCTCAAAGTAATAAAAGCTATTTATGACAAACCAACAGTCAATATTATACTGAATGGGCAAAAACTGGAAGCATTCCCTTTGAAATCAGGCACTAAACAAGGATGCCCTCTTTCACCACTCCTATTTAATATAGTACTGGAAGTTCTAGCCAGAGCAATCAGGCAAGAAAAAGAAATAAAGGGTATTCAAATAGGAAAGGTGGAAGCCAAATTGTCTCTATTTGCAGACGACATGATAGTATACCTAGAAGACCCCATCGCCTCAGCTCAAAAACTCCTGAAACTGATAAGCAACTTCAGCAAAGTCTCAGGATATAAAATCAATGTGCAAAAATCACAAGCATTCCTATAAACCAATAACAGACTTAAAGAAAGCCAAATCAAGAACGAACTGCCATTCACAATTGCTACAAAAAGAATAAAATACCAAGGAATACAGCTCACAAGGAACGTAAGGGACCTCTTCAAGGAAAACTACAAACCACTGCTCAATGAAATAAGAGAGGACACAAACAGATGAAGAAACATTTCATGTTCATTGTTAGGAAGAATTAACATCATGAAAATGGCTATACTGCCCAAAGTAATTTACAGAATCAATGCTATCCCCATCAAGCTACCATTGACTTTCTTCACAGAACTGGAAAAAACCACCATGGATTTCATATGGAACCAAAAGAGAGCCCGCATAGCCAAGTCAATTCTAAACAAAAAGAACACAGCAGGAGGCATCACACTACTGGATTTTAAACTATACTACAAGGCTACAGTAATCAAAACAGCATGGTACTGGTACCAAAACAGAGATATAGACCAATGGAACAGAACAGAGGCATTGGAGGCAACACAACATATCTACAACAATACAATCTTTGATAAACCTGACCAAAACAAGCAATGTGGAAAGGATTTCTTGTTTAGTAAATGGTGTTGGGAAAACTGGCTAGCCATGTGCAGAAAGCAGAAACTGGACCCCTTCCTGACACCTTACACTAAAATTAACTCCAGATGGATTAAAGACTTAAACATAAGACCAGGCACCATAAAAACCCTAGGAGAAAATCTAGGCAAAACCATTCAGGACATAGAAGTAGGCAAGAATTTCATGACCAAAACACCAAAAGCATTGGCAACAAAAGCCAAAATAGACAAATGGGACCTAATCAAACTCCACAGCTTCTGCACGGCAAAAGAAACAGTCACTAGAGTGAATCGGCAACCAACAGAATGGGAAAACATTTTTGCAGTTTACCCATCTGACAAAGGGCTTATATCCAGAATTTACAAAGCACTCACAGATTTACAGGAAAAAAACAAACAAACTCATTCAAAAATGGGCAAAGGATATGAACAGACACTTTACAAAAGAAGACATACATGAGGCCAACAAACATATGAAAAAATGCTCATCATCACTGGTCATTAGAGAGATGCAAATCAAAACCACATTGAGATACCATCTCACACCAGTTAGAATGGCGATCATTAAAAAATCTGGAGACAACAGATGCTGGAGAGGATGTGGAGAAATAGGAACACTTTTACACTGTTGGTGGGAGTGTAAATTAGTTTAACCATTGTGGAAAACAATGTGGCGATTCCTCAAGGCCTTAGAAATAGAAATTCCATTTGACCCAGCAATCCCATTACTGGGTATATATCCAAAGGACTATAAATCGTTCTACTATAAGGACACATGCACACGAATGCTCATTGCAGCACTGTTTACAATAGCAAAGACCTGGAACCGACCCAAATGTCCATCGATGATAGACTGGATTGGGAAAATGTGGCACATATACACCATGGAATATTATGCAGCAATCAGAAATGATGAGTTTGTGTCGTTTGTAGGGACATGGATGAATCTGGAGAACATCATTCTCACTAAACTGACACAAGAACAGAAAATGAAATACCGCATATTCTCACTCATAGGTGGGTGATGAAAAATGAGAACACGTGGACACAGGGAAGGGAGTACTAAACACTGGGGTCTACTGAGGGGAATAGGGGAGGTACAGCGGGGGTGGGGAGCTGGGGAGGGATAGCCTGGGGAGAAATGCCAAATATGGGTGAAGGGGAGGAATGCAGCAAAACATACTGCCATGTGTGTACCTATGCAACTGTCTTGCATGTTCTGCACATGTACCCCAAAACCTAAAATCCATTAAAAATAATTTTTTTAATAAAATAAAATAAAAAAGAACACAGGAATAACACTACCTAATTCATAGGGCAGCTGTTTCAATGAACTAGGATAACACATTGAAACCTAACTCACTCGGTCTAATGGAGTGAATTGAAGGAGAGAATATGAATTACCTTTCTCAGCAGACAGTTAACTAACATCCATGATCTTATTTAGCACTTTGATAGCTAAAGCCAGTGCTGACTTCAACATCGTTTCTCCTTTGTAGTCTTGTTTCAACATTAACACAGCTGCCTATAAAACATGAATCAACACAGAATTTTGTTTAAGTTTTTACATTTTTTAGAAACATAAATTGGTCTGGAAGAAAAATGCGGAGTGTGTGTGTGGTGAGTGGTGTATGTCTATATGAGGTGTGTAGACTGTAAAGTGTGTGTGTGGTGAGTGGTGTGTGTCTGTGTGAGGTTTGTGCACTGTAAAGTGTGTGGTGAATGGTGTGTGTCTTTTAGAGGTGTGTGCACTGTGCAGTGTGCGTGTAGTGAGTGTTGTGTGTCGATGTGAGGGGTGTGCACTGTGTAGTGTGTGTCTTCCATGGTGTGTGATGAGACGTGTGAGCACTGTGGAGTGTGTGTGTGTGTGTGGTCAGTGGTGTTAGTCTGTGTGTTTTGAGGACTGTGGAGTGTGTGGAACGTGTGTTGTGAGTGGCATGTGTCTGAGTTAGGGCTGTGTATTGTGGAGTGCGTGTGAAGGTGTGTCATGTGTGGCGTGTGTGTGTGAGGTGTGTGCACTGTGAAGTGTGTGTGTGGTGAGTAGTGTGTGTCTGTGTGAGGTGTGTGGACTGTGGTATGTGTCTGTGGTGAGTGGCGTTTATCTGTGTGAGGTGTGTGCATGGGGAGTGTGTGTGGTGAGTGGTGTGTGTCTGAGTGAGGTTTCTGCACTGTACATTGTGTGTGTGTTTTGTGTGTTGTCTTTCTGGGTGAGATGTATGCAATGTGGAAAGTGTGGTTGTGGCGAGTGGTGTTTTTCTATGTGAGGCATGTGCACTGCAGAGTGTGTGGTGAGTGGTGTGTGTGTGAAGTGTGTGCACTTGGAGCATGTTTGTGGTGAGTGGTGTGTCTTTGAGAGGTGTGTGCATTGTGGAGTGTGTCCACGTGTTTAGTGGTTTGTGTCTGTATAAGATGTGCGCACTGTGCAGTGTGTGTTGAATGGTGTCTGTGAGGTGTGTGAACTTGGAGAGTGCTTGTGGTGAGTGGTGTGTGTCTTTGAGAGGTGTGTGCACTGAGTGTGTGCGTGTGTTTAGTGTGTCTGTATAAGGTGTGTGCACTGTGCAGTGTGTGTGTGGTGAGTGGTGTGTGTCTGTGTGAGGTGTGTGCACTATGGAGTGTGTGTGGTGTGTGGTGTGTGCACTGTGGAGTGTCTGTGTGAGGGGTGAGTATTGTGAAGTGTGGCTGTGAAGTGTGTGTGCTGAGTGGTGTCTGTGTGGGGTGTGTGCACTGCTGTGTGAGTAGAGTGTATGTGGTACATGGTGTGTGTCTGTGTGGTGTGTGCACTGTGGAGTTTGTGTTTGTGGTGAGTTGTTAGCCTGTGTGAGGTATGTGCACTGTGGAGTGTGTGTGTGGTTCATGGTGGGTTCCTGTGAGGTGTGTGAACTGTGGAGTGTGTGAGTGGTGTGTCTGTGTGAAGTGTGTGCACTGTGAAGTGCGTGTGTGGTGAGTGGTGTGTGTCTTTGAGAGGTGGGTGCACTGAGGAGTGTGTGTGTTGTGTGGTGTGTGCCTTTGAGAGGTGTGTGCACTCTGCAGTGTGTTTGGTGACTGGTGTGTGTCTTTTTGAGTGGTGTAAACAGTGGAGTGTGTGTGTGGTGAGTTGTGGGTCTGTGTGCTGTGTGCACTGTGTAGTGTGTGTGTGGAGTGTGTGGTGAGTGGAGTGTCTGTGAAAGCTGTGTGCACATGTAGTGTGTGGTGTGTGATGTGTGTCAGGTGTTTTCACTTTGGAGTGTGTTTTTAAAGTGTCTGAATTGCGTGGTGTGTGTCTGTGGGAAATGTTTGCTCTGTGTACTGTGTGTATGTAGTGCGTGGTGTGTGTCTGAAGTGTGTGCACTGTGGAGTGTGTGTGTTACAAAAGCCGGAAGGAGACACATTTGGTCCTGGCCGCCCCGGGGTCACCGTGCCTGGGAGGAATGGACTATTGCTCGATTGGGAGTCCACTTCCTCCTCTTTAAAGATGACACAGCCGCCCTGGCCTTCCGGGAGGACTCCGGCGAGCGCGGTGCACGCTGCTGGGGAGTCCCACCGCGGGAGTTGAGGCCGCGGATTCCAAGGGCGGGAGGGGCGGAATGAGAAGGGACGCGGACCTTTCGGACTGCACTGTGTGGACGGTGCCTGTGCGTACACTCAGCTGTTCACGACTCGTTCTTCCGGCTCTCCACTGAAAATCGTACCCCGGCCGGTTGCTTTTTACTGCCTTCTTGTTTCCCTCCGGCGAGTCAGCGCGACTGTGAATTTCCGTTTCCGGTGGTTTCCATGCGGACTTGAAGAGTTGCGATTGTGATCCGACTCAGTGCCTGGCTGTGGTAGGGGGTAGTAAGGTTCCTGGGTCTTGGGCACTGGGAGGCTCTCCAGTCGTGCGGGTCAAAAGGTCGATCCCCGGTCCTCCGGGTCATCTTTGCTCCGGAGCATCGGCTTATTTCGCATCTGTGGGAAGTGTGCCGGGGTGGTTCGAAGAGTGACCGGACGGTGAGGGAAGGTAGCAGAGAGACATCGTTTCCTGGAGATAAAGTCCTGGCAGGCGACTTAGACCTGAGCCGGATCTGTTGACCCCAAATTGTGCTTTTCCCACCAAGAAGAAAGACATGGAGAGAAAAATATTACAAGTTCGGAACTAAAATATAGTAGAGAAGAAACATAATCTCTGAAATCACACAGCTGTTCAGTTTCAAAGCGCTCCTAGTGCCCAGCTCTCCTAACTTCCGACCAGCGTTCCTTGAATTTCTGTTGATATATAAAGACTTAATGGGCCCGGCGGGGTGGCTTACGCCAGTAATCCCAGTGAAAAACCGGGGTGTGCGGATCGCGAGGTCAAGAGATTGAGACCATCCTGGCCAACTTGGTGAAACCCATCTCCACTAAAAATGCAAAAAAATTAGCTGGGCATGGTGGCGTCTAACTGTAGTCCCAGCTGCTTCGAAGGCGGAGGCAGTAAAATCTCTTGAACCCGGGAGGCATAGGTTGCAGTTAGCTGGAGATTCCATCTAAAAAAAAAAGACTGAAGAGACATCAGTAAACGTCTCTATGGCATTCACCTCCCGAATTTCCTTTGTGTGTGTGTGTGTGTGTGTGTGTTCACAGTCTCTGGAAGATTTCCCTCAAGAGACTGCTTATTCTGAGCCTCTTGGTGTATCTCACTGGTCTCTTGTACCTGCTGCACCAGGCAGTGTTTGTCTGTTTTGGGATCAGGACTTTAAATAGAGTCTATCAGGAGTTTCTCACAGTTATAGGACCAGGCACTGCCCCTTCCTTTGCATACTGCTCTGGTTCATTGGCCACAGAACCGTTTCTGTGTTCAGAGGCCTCACTCCTTCTCCTCACCATTCTTAAACACTTCTGCTTGGATGCAGAGCAGTCTGCCTCTGTGGGGTTCTTATAAGTCCTGAAAGAAGCCAGCAAGGCTCTGAAAGCCTCAGGACAGTTGTTTGCTGGAAGTCTCCCTTCTTACAATTGCTTCTTATTTAGAGTTTTTATTTTGCAGCAGTATTAATGAGAATTTAATTGAAATTTAAGTTTTAATTTTCCTTTAATATTTGGGGTGCAAAGCTGTTCTACCTTTCTGGAATGGTGCATGGAGAATATCAAAACAAGAAATCCACAATCTGGGCCGTTTTATTACAGTTATGAAGTTTAGACCTCTCACATGGCAAACTTCTCACCTTTATATTTTAGCAGTCAGGTAAAAAGTGATTGTAAACTTTTTCTTTCTGGGCCATATATTTCAATGTTAAAAAGGCTAGAAAAAGAAAAGAACAGTGATAGGATTTACTTTGTGCCTATTTGAATAGTGGGGGTAGAAGTGTAGTTGATGGAAAATGTCTACTTATTGCTCCAAGATGCTGTGCCTTTGGGAGTAAATTAATTATAAAATGTTTAGGAAAATGGGTGGATTCAGAAGCCTTTAAGGCTACAGGATATGGCCCCATCCTACGTTCAGCCTCAGTTTTTAGTGATGCTGCCTTGTGCCCAGGTGCTTGAGTTTTTCGTGTGTGCCTTCAGTTTCCTTCCTCTGTGCTCTTCTTCGTGTGGTTTTCTCAGCCTGGAATACCCTTTTTCCACCTGCCAGAATCCGCATCACAGTAAAAATCCCAGAGTACAGGCTCACCCTCTTCCAGAAAGGGATTTTCTGAATATGTTCTTCACTCTTTCCTAACCCCAGGTGGACATCATCTCCCTGTCTGGTTTCTTATGGAATAATGTCACTTTCAGCCTAGAGACACAGTTGTGTGTCTGTCCCTTTTCCTCTGGTAGATGGTGAACACTGCTTCCTTATTTCTGCATTTTTCTAGTTTTCTAAACAACGTGCTTAGTGGACAAGAGTGTGATGAGTCACTGACACATGAAAGGAGGGATAGGAAGTTCTGGCATTCATTTCTGCTGTATGGCTGAGTTTATTTTTCTAGGATGGAAGATTTGAGAAACCCAGAGGATATCCAAACAAACATCAAATGTGACCGGAAGGTGTCACTTTATGGTTATTTAAGAGTAGCACATTTGAAAAATAAAAGCCAGATTCACATGCCAGGTATTGTCTTGTTGTTAGAACATGCTAGAATTACACATAGGATTCTCAAGATTGCTTCATTTCTCAGGAAAACTGAAAAATGACCAAACAAGGGAAGATGGCCTTGCTGGAGGTTTTAAACCCAGCTATGTGTAGGCCTGCAATGGTGTTATCGAATCCGCTCCTCTCTGACCTCTTGTCTTGTAGTGAGAGGGGCACTATTCCAGTGTGGCACAATGCCCTTCTTTAGTGTCATGGTTTAAGCCCTCAGACTATGGATCATTTTTACCCCCACAGTGAACAGTGGGTACTTACTGACTTCTTGTCAGCTGAAGCTGGCTTTTTAAAAGGGTCCTGTCTTCTAGGCATAGGAGATTTCACCGTGAGTGACATCAGTTTCCTCCCAGACCCTTGTGCTCTTCCTGAACAACAGAAGAAGCACTGTTTAAATGAGAAGGAGCAGCTGGTTTATGTGCCTCTTTCTGGAGTTGGGGGTGTGCTGTATGACAAAGATGCTGTCTGTGTTGACCTTGGTGGCAGCCACGGTTTTCAGGCTTTGGTGAGACAAGTCATTGTTCTGAACTCTCATTCTTCTTTCCGAATCTATTTTGTAATCACAAAAGTAATGTACTCAGCTTTTATTTGTTGAAGACTTTTCTCTTGTACTTATAATAAAGGTCCAAATGCATATTGTAAATATAGAATAAATAGAAAACTTTTTTTTCATTATACCAAGAAGAGTTCTGTCCTCCATGCCTCCTTCATCCATGGCCCCAGCGCGGGCACTGCTGACAGTGTGGCACCTGCACGGCCCATCCTCGTTTCTACAAAATCAATGTGCTTTACAACTCTCATTGGCCTTTTTCTCATTCACAGTGGTCTCCTCTGTATTTTAAAGTTGGTTTCAAATATTTATTTCTTAGTTCTGAAGATGAATTGTATTGGGTTGAAATCAGGGTTATTTTAAAATGTTAGAAAAGCTAGCATTGCTGTTGTAGCATTGGAACTGAGGTTTTTCTAGATAGGTGTTTAGGTTTTTATACTCCCTGAACTTTGGAAAAGTTTAATGGAGATGGGGATTCATTTCAGGCTTTGTTGTAAAGATTTTCTTGTCTGCTTTTTGAGACATTAAGAAAGGTTCTCAGGAAATGTGTCAAAGGTAATTTTGAGAAACTGAGTGAAACCAGTGTCTCTCCAGGATCTTTATACTTTCTCACATCCCCTTTCTTGGTGGTCTTGACAGGATGAGGTGGGGTCCACCCATGAGCTGGTCCAGAGTCTCATCTCCACCCATTCCACCATTGATGCCAAGATGGCTTCAAGTCGAGTGATGCTGTTTTCTGATTCCAAGGCACTTGGGTCAGAGGATATAAGATAATCAAGGGTAAGTCTGCTTTTTTTCTATTTCTAACAAAAGGATATATTACAGACGATGCAGGAGTTCTGCCATCAGAACACGTTTTGGTGGGATTAATTCCAGGTTGTTTTTTCTTTGTGTGTGCATGTGTCTCTGAGGGCTCTTCACATACCTAATATTACAAGGGAGTATTTTCTTGTTATAAAATACAGGATGCATTTTTCAACAGACCCTAAATATTCCTCAAATGCCACACCATCTTCCATAGGTTGCTTTTTGTTTTTAAGAGACCTGAGGCCACTGGGCTTTCTTTTGGTGGCCAAAACACTAGAGCAGAGTCAGGGAGTTTGTGGCTGCCCAGAAGCCATGTGCCTTATCTCTGAAAGTTTTGTTTAGATTATGTTGTATTATCTCCCTGTGGGTAGGTTTCCACTCATGTGTGGCTTATGTAGATTATTTTTCAGTCTAGGTTGCCTTTATACATAGTGGATGTTTGTAAAACATTGGTTTTGTTGTATTGATTTATGACTCCCAGTAATATTTATCTGAAAACTTGTTGCAATGTGCATAAACTACCTAGTGCAATGCCTGACAGAAACGAAGTGTTCACCAAAAATCACTCTTTCATAATGAGCGTTATTAGCTATTTTCATTTTTGCGTATCCTTCTAGTCATCCTTGTCTATAAGAATACTGCCTTCTAATATAGTTACAGTTAAAACATGTAGTTTTATTTCTATATTCTGAGCATTTCCGTTTTCTATACAGTCTTTACGTAGTCATCATTTTGTTATTATTGGTGTATTCTTTTTGTTTGTTTGTTTGTTTTTGAGATGAGGTCTCACGTTGTTTCCCAGGCTGCAGTGCAGTAGCATGATCTTGGCTCACTGCAACCTTGAACTCCCAGGCCCAAGTGATCCTGCCGCTTCAGTCCCCCAAGTAGTTGGGACTACAGGAGCATGGGAGCCCTCAACCTATCTCCTGTGTCCTTTCAACCACTCCCAGCTAATTTTTTTTATTGTTTTCTAGAGAAGAGGTCTCACTATGTTGCCCAGGTTGGTCTAGAACTCCTGAGCTCAAGCTGTCCTCCTGCCTTGGCCTCCCAAAGTCCTGGGATTACAGATGTTAGCCACTGTGCCTGGCCTATTATTGCTGTATTCTAACTTATCCATCTGTTATAGTATGATTTTAATTTTTTCTAATTTGTGTTTTCATAATTTTATATATCATGCTACGTTAAACAGCTTCATACAGTTTTCTTTCATTCTATGATTTTAGCCTCCTGATGATTCTTCTCTGTCAGTTGTGGCACTGGTGACTTAAAATGGATTTTCTTCCTCTGTCACTCCTCCTACATTTGTTAGCTGGCATTTTTAACAAACAGGTTTCACTTCTCCCCTTTATTTCAGTATCACTGCTGACTAATGCACTTGCATTTTATTCCATGTGTTATTCTCCATCACTATCATTCTTTCTGATGACTGTGCTGTCCCAGATTTGGCAGTGGGAACCTTCATCCTGTCTCCTATGTCCTGTCAACTGTCTCTGTTAGTCTTTGAGTGTTCCTTACATTCTGACAGAAAAAGAGGATCCAGGCTCATTTTGCCCTCTTTCTGCTTTGCGCCCAGACTCTGCCATTTATCTTAAGAATCATGTGTTTTAGCTTAGAAATTAATCAGCTTTCCAAAAGATCTACCAAACACTAACTTCCCTTTAGAGCAAATCTTTTCTAAAATTAGACCTTTTTTTTATTTTTAAAAGAGGGTTATTCCTTTATTCTCTCTGTAAGTTCTTTTGAAGTGTGGTATTAGGGAACCACACCTGAGTTTGCTTATTAACTCTTACAATGTTTATCACATCATTTTTTTCTTATATCATCTTAAACAATTTCTTGACATTTTCTATTTCTTTGTATTTTCATCGACTATATTACCATTTCTAGATTAACTGATTAAGGTACGATTTGAATTATTTTGCATTTCCTTGGTAATAATATAGGCTGTTGATGCCAAAGGAGGAAAAACAAATGGACTTGAAAACTGGTCGAATGCGTCGGAAAGCCGTTTTTGGTGATGAAGATGGATCTGGAGATAGTGACGATGAAGAAGGTGATGAAATGTCTGAAGATGACGGGTTGGAAAACGGCTCGAGTGATGAGGAAGCAGTAGAGGAGGAAAATGCTGAGGTGACTGAGGAGTGTATGACTGCTAAGGGCGTCAAACGACGGAAACTTGAGGAGTTGGAAGAAGACAGTGAAGGTAGATTTGCCAGCATTTGCTGACAGTGATGATGACCTTGAGAGGAGCTCAGCAGAAGAAGGGGAAGCGGAGGAAGCTGATGAAAGCAGTGAGGAAGAGGACTGCTCTGCAGGAGAGAAGGGCATTTCAGGATCAAAGGCTGTCAGAGAAGGTAGTAAAGCAGAGCTGTCACCAGCTAATCACCAGCGTGACCGTGTGAATCTGGAGAAGTCTTTGCTGATGAAGAAAGCAGCCCTCACCACTTCCGATTCTGGGCATTGCACAGCTGAAGAGGTGTTTGCGTCTGAAGATGAATCTGAAGAAAGCTCCTCACTCAGTGCAGAGGAAGAGGACTCAGAAAATCAAGAAGCTCTTAGGAAAAAGTTTTCAAAGCCTTCTCAGGTGGGCAGTGGTCAGAAACTGGGGTCAAGGAACTTAATTGATGAGACCAGTGAATAGAAGATTTACTCAAAGAGGAAGAAGATTGCAAGGAAGAAAAGAATGATCCCCAGAAACCTCAGGTAAGCTTAAATTTAGTTGGTTGCTACTATGAACTTGACTCTCGAAATAGTACCCAAAGGAATGTCTACATTTGGGGGTCTTTTGATTTTAAGATTTTGTTAACTGTTGAGATGCTGCATTATGGATGGTCTTGAGGGAGGGGAGACACGTAAACAAGCCTCACTGGATATTGACGTTGGTTGTTTCAGGTGCCCTTAAGTGGAAGGAAGACCTTTCCAAAAAGGCAGTTGAGGCCTTTCTGAGGCAGCAGCAGCAAGCAGCTCCAAACCTCTGAAAGCTTATTTATGGGATAGGTAAATAATTCTGGTTCAGAGCTGGAAACATTTCAGTTTCTCTAACTATTTTCTGAAAAGGAAATGAGGGAATTGGTTGGAGGATTGGCCTGGTATTGTTGACCTCCATAATTGCTGGCCATCACATTTCCTATTTGACAGATGTCTTTAATCATCAGCTTACTAAGGACCACACATTGGTCTTGTGAAGTACACTTAAGGGTTTGCTGTAAAACTTGATGCAAATACTGTCTATTGCATCATGTGATGTCCTCTTTTTAAAAGTCCTTCATGAGAAATTTTTTGTAGAATTTAGTGCCAGAAAAATATTTCTGCCCATACAAATATTTATTTGTTCCTTTCTGAAAGTGAGAAACCCGTATCATACATTTTGTTCTCCTTTTGCCCTTGTCCTCTGATTAAACTTAACTGTATATTCTTTGTGGTAGAATTAATATAAAAATAAATCTATAGTGGTGACCTTCATATTGTGCCTGGTTACTGCACGATGAGATCAAGGCCACATGGTGAGACATTTGGGCTCAGCACACTGAAATGGGAGGGTTGTTGTGTACTGATTTTCATTCAGGTTTTGTCTGGGTATACTCTCAGTGATGAGAGGCTCAAAACTCTTTAGAGCTCCTCTTTAGTGATCTACAGCTCTGCTTTTAAATGTCCCTTCCCTTCCTCGACCCCTTGACCGCTTAGCTGCTGCCATGCAGGAGCGCAGGAGCCCCCACGCATATAGAGCGATAGCTTCCTGGCCTCTCTTCACTCTCTTCACTGAGAGGGCTGATATGCCCTCTCAGTGCCTGACTCATATGTGGCCATGATCATACCCACCACAGAGACCCTCGGTTCCTGAGTTCAAAGACTCATGGTCTAACTAGTTAAAAACGATGAGTCCTCTAGGGCTGTAGTTTTTATTCTCGCTTTTCTGCCATGGTCTTCTCTTTAGTGACAGAAGATAATGAAGAAGAAGATGATACCCAAGAAGAGCTTGGAGGTTTATTTCGTGTCACCCAGCCTGACAGAGGGTGTAAGCACAAGGCCGACTCTTTGGACTGCTCCAGATTTCCTGTGGAAGCACCCCATGACTGGGATTTAGAGGAGGTAAGGGGGTGGTACATTTGATTTTTTAGAGAATTGTTCTGGAATAAGATTTTCTGATGTCAATATTGCTTACCTGTTATTGGCTTCTTATTTCTATAGGATGACAGGTCATTTAGATATTGTAGTGGGTACTTTATCCATTTTAAGCAATAACAGGTTCTGAGTTTAGTTAGACCATGTGCACAGCCCACAGAGGACAGATCAGTTTCCAATGTGGACAGTATTGCAGATCTTTATTTTGAAGCATCACACATAAGTTTTTATACATCTGATGTGTTTTGCATCTCATCACTAGGATATATGTAGCATCCTTGAGTTAACATTTATAGTTTCTGCTATTTGTAAGCATACAGAAATCTGTGATACCTATAAATGTTCTTCCTGTAGCTCACCACTTTGTAGTCACACTGAAACTTGCCACAGCTTGCCCTCCTCTTACTCTTAGATCTTTTCTTTCTCTGTCTCTTTTTTTTTTTTTTTTGGAGACAAAGTCTTGGTCTGCAGTCCTGGATGAAGTGTAGTGGCATGAGTGTATGGTCCAATGCAGCCTCGACCTCCTGGGCTCAAGAGATCTTCCCATCTCAGCCTCTGGAATAGCTGGGATTGCAGGCATGAGCCGCCAGGCCTGGATAATTTTGCATTTTTTGTAGAGACAGTGTTTCACCATGTTGAGCTAGAGTCTCAAATTCTGGGCTCAAGTGATCTTTCTGTCTTGGCCTCCCAAAGTGCTAGGATTACAGGAGAGAGCCATCGCACCAGTCCCTTTCTTTATATTCTTTTTTGGAATGTTCTGATCTTCCAAAGGCTACCTTTTTTTCTGTAAATTCAGTTTGGCTTAGATGACACTTCTCACAGAGGCCCAGTTGCTCTCATCTTGTCTATTATAATTTACCAGGTAATAATGTACTTTATGAGATTTTATTGAACCATTTTTGATGGTGAAATTTAATACATCTATAGAAAACCACATAAAAACAATTGTTTAACTTAATGGCTTGCCAGAAGGTGAATACCCCTGTATTCAGCACTCAGGCTTCGAAATCAAGCTTTGCTGATTGATTGAAACACCAACCAGGGTCCCCTTTCTCCCTGTAGAAGGAGGTGTGGTCCAGCCTCTTATGGTGCCTCTCCTTTTCTTCCTGGTTTCCTCCTCCATGCTTCCATAAGCATCATAGTTTATCTTTACCTAATTTTCATGACTTTTTCAGTCTATCTTTTAAATTTATAGTCAACAATCTTCCTTTTCATTTCTTTTTTTGGTTACATTTTATTTAAGAAACCAAGTCTTTGGTCTTGTATTCTGGATTTTGTGGATTTCTTTGCATCCCTCTGCAGTTTCTCAGGCCCTCCTATATTTCCTGTGAATGGGTAGGGGGTAAAACTGATAGAACTTCTGTGTTGAGCAGAATGTGTATCTGAGTTGGGGGTTGTGGCTACTGAGCTGCTAGTGAGACTGGAGAACTAAATTTTAAATTTTATTTAATCTTGGTTAAGACTATTTTAAATAGCCATGTGGTTCTAGTTACCCGATGGACAACACATCTAGCAGTTGGATAGGATTTAAATTTGATTTTTATTTTTCAGCAAAACTGCTTTTCAGGTCGTGGTGTTTTCTAATTAGGAGGTGCATAAAGACCAGTTGTGTGTTTTTAATGATGTTAAATGTTATCGGTTGTTGATGCTCAATGCCTAGAACCATTAATTTCTTAAGAACATAGAGTGGTGATGTTCTATTCATTATTTCTCTTTACTTATGAGCTGTAATACTTCTTTAAAAAGAAAGGTTTCCTCTTCTACTATTTGATTATCCACTTCCAAATATATAGGGTAAATGCTTGATTTTTTAATCTGTTTTTGGAGTGATTCTCCAAAGGATACTTGTTTGTAAATATTATTGTGATGTCATGGATATAAATGTAGTTGATGTGTCTTGTGCTGGTGCACTTGTTATCCTTATTAAAGCTCCTCTTTATCCCATCTGTGGCCTGTGGAAGTCTCTGCATGCCAGCTCCTGAGTCCTTATGTGATGATCGTAGTCATCCTTAACCAATTCTTGCTCTCTCATGTGAGAGAGCAGTTGGAATCACCCATAAAAAGTTCTGATGTCTTTTAGTAGAAAATGGTATTTCAACATGACAGCCTAGGCATAGGAATGCTTACTGCCATGAGTTGGTCATTACTTCTAGGGCTTCTCAGTGACCTGAAGCAGGTGAGTTCATGTAGATATTTCCAGTTCAAACTCAGGACTACATCTTATTCATTCTTCTACTAGACAATTATTCCCTGGTTGAATCAGAAGATGATGAAATTAGAGAATCTCATAATTACTCATTTGTTTTATCTTATTATTACACACACAACAGTGTCAGAATAATATGATTACTGAAAACAGAGATTTTTTTTCCCTAATATACTCTCTCATTTCTTTTTTCAAAAGTGACTGTGCCATTTTTCTTACCCACTGGCACTATATGTGGGTTCCAATTTCACCACTTCTTCACCACACTTGTTATTATCTGTCTTTTTTATTATAGCCATCCTAGAGGGGGCGAAGTAGTATCTCATTATAGTATTGACTTGCATTTCCCTGATAGATAATGATGAACATCTTTTCATATGCTTATCGGCTATTTATATATATTCTTTGGGAAATAACTTCATATTGTTTGCCCATTTCAAAAATTGGATTACTTAGTTGTATGCATTGTTTATATATTCTGGATATAAGTCCATTATCAGATATATAATTTGCATATAACTTCTCCCATTGTATAGGAATTAATTTTCAAACAGACATGTTTAGATTAACGGGTAGCAAGACCAGTATGTAAACTGTCTCATTGCATCCCCTTAGAAACAATAAAATTGAAAATTAGTTGAATTAGTAATTATCTGTTTGTTTACTTATGAGGTCAGTAGGCTAGCAGTATTTAATACTTTCCCTATCTGCTGCTTAATGTGTTTTATCTCTGTGGTTAAACTGTCTCCATCGAAGGTAAAGTTATTTCCTAGGCTCATTTGCAATGAGACTATCCATGAACGTGGAAAATATTTCAAGGCAAGTTGTCGCCTATTACCATTTCTTATATTGTTTTGCTGAGTGATTGGAATGCCTCACCTAAGTGCTGACTTTTCTGCATAAGGTCATGAACAGTATTAGAGATTGCTTCATGACTGGAAAGTGGGAGGACGATAAAGATGCAGCCAAGGTCTTAGCAGAAGATGGTAAGTAAAGAGCTGCTTTCTTGAGGAGAACTGGTTTCTCTACACTTTATTTTCTTCTGTATCTTAGACAATAGTCAAGTTGAAAATAATAGTCATTTGTGAAATGCTTTTGGGAATTCAGACAGGAGTAATGAACCAGGTAGTATTCTGGTTTTTCCTTTTATGATGACCTTATTTTCTCCTGTTGGCTAACTGATTACCTATGGACTTGAAAGAAAAGTGAGAAACTTTCATAAGTTTTATCATGTGTTGTTAAAAATAGATTTTGTGTGATGTGAAAATAAACACAAATAACATTTATATTTTTCTTTTGATAATGAAGGTAGCATGCGTTATGGAAAATTTAGAATGAAAAGTACATAACATACCAGAATTCTACCAACCCATAAAAATCCTTTGCTAATTCTCAAAGTACTTCTAGTCATTTAAAAATCATGTGTGTAAACCTTTTTAGTTGCACTTTACATAAATTTTGGCAGAAGGATGTTTAAGTGATGTACTTTATATAATTTTGTCATTTGTTCAAAGAATTTTCATTTTTTATTATTTAAATATCGTACCATAATTCAAGTAACAATTTTTTCAACATCTAAGGAGTTTTGTACTTTGTTCATTTTATAAAGAACTCTACACTGAACAACCTTGAAATAATCTTGGATTACTTTCAATTTTAAAAACCAGATTGGTGTTTTTTTTATTTTTAAAAAACAGATTTGTAAGTGTTAGAATTGAGTCATTTTTAATTTTTAAAAAAACAGATTGTAAGTTTTAGCAACTGCCACATGGGGTTTTGGAAGGTTGTTCTTTTTGTTTCATTTTGAGACAGGATCTGGCTCTGTTAGCCAGGCTGGAGTGCTGGTGTGGTCACAGCTCCCTGTAACCTCAGCTTCGCATATCCAAGCCTCCTGAGTAGCTACGACTATAGGCATGCATCACTACTCCCAGCTAATTTGAATTTTTTTTCTGTACAGTTTTTTTATGTTGACTCAGACTGGTCTCAAACTCCTAGGCTTAAGAGATCCTCCTGCCTTAGCCTCCTGAGTAGCTTGGAACACAAATGTATACCACCATGCCTGGATAATGTTTAAATTTTTGTACAGATGGGGATCTTGCCATGTTGCCTAGGCTGGTCTTGAATTCCTGGGCTTAAGCAGTACTCCTGCCTTGGCCTTCTGAAGCTCTGGGATTACAGGCCTGAGCCACTGTGTCTAGTCTGTAGTATATTAATGTATTCTTTATATATATGTAATTTATTTCTGGACTAACTACTTTATATCATTGATCTCTGTTGGATCATTTAGTATTATTATAATTTAGAACCCTATGTAGCTTTATCATATTATTAAGACACCAGTTATTAAAACTGTGTCTCAACAGTTTCTCTTTTTGTTCTGCTGGGGGGCCTTTTTTTTTTTTACAGATTCTCCCTGACTATTCTCACTTGCTTACTGTTTTTTCCATAGGAACTTAAGAATCATCTTTTCTGTTTTCGAAGAAAGTTTTAGTCACTTTAGTGAGGTATAATTGATGGTAAACTATAGTATTTAAAGTGTACAATTTGATAAACTTTGATAATATTAATATACCATTGCCACAATCAAAATATTTAATACGTTTGGAATAAAGAATATTCACAGGTGACAACACATTTGTCTCATGCCACTGTTGTAACCCTCCAACCTCTCCTCTCCCATCGTCAGGTAGATTCAGCTGCCTTGTGTCACTATTCAGTAGATTGTGCACTTTAGAATTTAATAGAAATGGGATCCTACAATATGTACTCTTTTCTGTCTAACTTCTTTTACTCAGCATGATTATTTCAAGAGTTATCCATGCTGTTGCATCTTCATTTCTTCTGATTTGGCCAGTAGTAGTCCATTGTATGAGGGGATAACAACTTATTTGTTAACCTGTTGATAGACAATTATTTCCAGGTTTTGGCTAGTGATGAGCAAAGCTACTATGAACATTTTTATAGAAGTCTTTATATTTAGAGGCCAGGTTCAGTGGCTCCACTTGTATTCCCAGCACTTTGTGAGGCTAGGTGGGTGGATCACCTAAGGTCAGGAGTTTGAGACCAGCCTGACCAACATGGAGAAACCCCGGCTCTACTAAAAATACAAAACTTAACTGCGCATGGTGGTGCATGCCTGTAATCCCAGCTACTCAAAAGGCTGAGGCAGGATAATTGCTTGAACCCTGGAGGCAGAGGTGGTGGTGATCTGAGACCGTGCCATTGTACTCCATCCTGGGCAACAAAAGTGAAAACTCCATCTCAAAAAAAAGAAAAAAAAATCTTTTTATGAATGACTGCTTTTATTTCTTTTGGTTAAATAAGTAGTTCAGAATGTACTAAATGGGTCTTATGATAAGTACACATTTAATTTTTTAAGAAATTGCCCAACTGTTTTCCAAAGTGGTTATACCATTTTCCATTGCCACTGTAACTTTATTCTACTTTTGGTTGCTTCACTCTACATCTTTGCCAGTACATGGTGGTATCAGTCTTTTTAAATAGTAGGCCTTCTTTTAGGTGTAGAGTGGTATCTTGTAGTTTTAGTGACTAATTAGGTATCGAGCATTTTTTCATGTGCTTATTTGCCATCAGTGTCTTCTTTGATAATGTCTTTCCAGATCTTTTGTACGTTAATTTGGTTGAATTCTAAGAAATTTTATGTATTTTTGATACAAATTCTGTATCACATGTGATATGCAATTATTTTTGCCTAGTGTGTGCCTTATCTTTTCCATTTTTTAAATAGTGTTTTTCACAGAGCAAAGTATTTAATTTTGGTCTAGGTCAATTTACCAAAATTTCCTTTTTTTTTTTTTTTTTTTGAGATGGAGTCTTACTTTGTTGACCAGAGTGTGACACAATTTTAGCTCACTGCAACCACCATCCCCCGAGTTCAAGCCATTCTCCTGCCTCAGCCTTTTGAGTAGCTGTTGTTATACAGGCACCCATTACCCCACCCAGCTAATTTTTGTATTTTTAGTAGAGACAGGGTTTCACCATATTGGTCAGACTGGTCTTGAACTCCTGACCTCAGGTGATCCCCCACCTCAGTTTCCCAAAGTGCTGGGATTACAGGCATAAGCTACTGTGCCCTGCCTCAAATTTTATTTTATGGACTATACTTTTGATATTGTATGTAAGAAATGTTTGCCTAACCCAATGTCACAAATTGTCTAATATATTCTATAAGTCTTACAGTTTCAGGTTTCACATGTAGGTCTATGATCCTTTTTGAGTTAATTTTTATATGTTGTTGGATATAGATTTAGGTTCTTTTTAACATATTGATATCCATCTGTTGAAAGACTATTTATTTTTCCCATTAAATTGCTCTGTATTGGTTGGCCTTATATGGGTGAATATTTCTGGGCTCTCTGTTCTGTTCCATTGATATATTTGTTTATTTTTATACCATACCAGTGCTGTCTCAGTTACAGCTTTCTAATTGGTCTTGGAATTAGGTAGTTTTTCAAACTTTAGTCTCCTTTTCAAAGTTCTTTTGGTTAATCTAGATTCTTTGCATTTTCATATAGATTTTAAGATGAGCATGTCAGTTGCTACAAAAAGCCCACTGCAATCTTGATTGGCATTTCATGGAACTTGTAAAACAATTTGAGAAAATTGACATCTTAACCACATTGAGTTTTCTGATCTATTAACATAGTATTTCTTCATCTATCTTGTTCTTTAATTTCTCTCAGCAAGGTTTTCAGGACACAGATCTTATACAACTGTCAGCAATTTATTTTCATATCAACTTGTATTTGTGTATTACTAATATTTAAGAAATGCATTTGATTTTTGTATATCAATCTTGTATCCTGCAATGTTGCTAAATTACTTGTATTTTTTGTTTTTGGTTTTTTTTTTGAGACAAAGTCTCCCTCTGTCACTTGGGCTGGAGTGTAGTGTCATGATTTCAGCTCACTGCAGCCTCTGCCTCCCAGGTTCAAGCAGTTCTCAGGCCTAGCCTTCCAAGAAGCTGAGATTATAGGCAGCCACCACCATGCCTACCAAATTTTTGTATTTTTAGTAGAGATGGGGTTTTACCATGTTGGCCAGGCTCGTCTCAAACTCCTGATCTCAAGTGTGTGTTTGGAGGGAAGGGGTAAACTTTGACTAAACAGTGTTGATGGTTTTCTAAGAAAATACTTCTTCTTTATCTCAGCGATTCTTTTCTTTTATACTTTTCTGTATGTTTTTTGTCTTGTTCTGCACAATAAGGCTTGGGCTTTTAAGTTCTGCTTTGACTTTTCACCCATGTCCAATTTCATATGGTTCCCCCGGTTTCTGTGTGGGATGGTTCTGGGAGCCAAATGGGAACCCTCTTTCTCTCCAGATAGGCTAAGATAGATGCCAGTTTTTTTACTTTCTTTCTTTCTTGTGTGGGTGACTTAATTTTTCTTGCCTTACTGCCCTGACTTAAACTTCCAGGACAGTGTAGAGTAGAAGTCAAAGTAAATATTTTTGCTTTGTCCTGATTTTGCTTATTTTCCAAGTGAACTTAAGAATCACCATTTCTATTTCCAAAAGAAAATGTTGTGGTGTTTTTTCCTAATTAAACTTTTAATTTTGAGGTAATTGTAGATTGACATGCACTTGTAATAACAAATACAGAGAGATCTCTGTTATCTTGTACTACAGCACTACCTGTGTGTATATGTACTATGTATACTATGTGTACTATAGCACAAGGTCACAGCCTGGATGCCAACATTGATACAATCTGCTGATCCTATATAGCTTTCTCCAGTTATATACATGCGCGCGTGTGTGTGTGCATGCGCTTCTGTGCTCTTTTATCATGTGTAGGTTTTTGTGTCTACCAACAGTTAAGATACAGAGCAGTTCCATCACAAGGATTGCTTGTATTGCTCTTCTATAAACATACCCACACCCCTGCTGTACCCCAGCCCCAGTTCCTTCCCTTGTCAACCATAATATGTTTTCTGTTTCTACAATTTTGTCATCATCAAGAATATTA